GGAGTTTGTACATTTTTCTTTCGCCGGAATGAATTTCCGCAATAAATCAAAATATGGAGGAAGCGAACTGCAATTCGTTTAAAATCGTGTTAGTCGGAGACAATGCAGCCGGGAACACCTGTCTCCTCTACAGGTTTAAAAATGATGAGTTCGTATGGGACCTGGGTGTTACAATAGGTACTTTTATTATCTATTTATTTATGGGGTGGGGGGTATAGTTTTACAGTAAACGCGGTTGTTTTTTTTTCCTCGTCCTACTGTCATTTGTTGCTCAGACATTATCTTTAAATGTATTTTCTTGTGTTTTTGCGCGGTGACAGTTTTTACTTCTGTTATAATCCATTTTTTTTCCTGCAGGCGCTTCTTTTACTTCTAAGATCCTAGAGCTCGACGGAAAGAAGATACAGTTAGACTTATGGTAAGTAAGAGTTTTTATTCTTAATTATTTTTAATAATAGTAAAGGCTGCACGAGAAAATGGCACAGTCTCTTTCTAACATGATACAAAGTCTTAATAAAGATCATAAATGTTACATTATCTCCCTCTGAAATGTTTGGTTTATGTCCACATTCAACATAAATTAATAACTACGTCATATTTTCCTGCTGTCCCTGAATGCAGCGTGGAAATTCATAGTCTGGGTCCCACAAACTGTTTTTCATACATGTATTTTAACTCCCATGCCTTGCACTCTTTCAGGGATACAGCTGGTCACGAGAGCTTCAGAAAAACACATTCAGTGTACTACAAAGGAGCAATGGTGAGTATTTGTTTAATACAACATAATTTCACTTTCTTTCATTTCAGTTCTCTTTGCAAAACATATGATTTTCTGTCCTTCACAGGGCGTCGTGCTTGCCTATGACATCACAGATGAGGGATCTTTTGAAAACATCAAGCTCTTTATGAGGGACGTGGATGACGTATGTACTGGTACAAATGTAACCTCCTTTACATGCTAGCTACAGTACGTTAAACGTTTCTGCTTCTTTGTGCAGAATGTTCATTCATTTTGTCCCCTTTCTGTTAATTTAGCATGCACCAGCAGATGTTGAGAAGATCCTCCTTGGCAATAAATGTGATATGAATGACAGAAGGCAGGTGTCCAAAGAGAGAGGAGAGGAGGTGAGAACTTGGATTATTAGTGACTTATCTTGGTATTAATGTAAAACAAGCACTTTCTTGCTAGTAAAATATAATTGATTAATTTTATTTTTGTGCAGCTTGCATTAGAGTATGGGATCAAGTTCATGGAGACCAGTGCCAAGTCCAACATCAATGTGGAAAATGTGAGTTGCTTCTTCTTTAAAATAACTTGTTCTTGTCTTTGTTTTAATTTAGTCATTTAGATAAAAACGTGTATACAGGAAATCTCCCATGTTTTTAAATTTTAAGCCCCTTTCAGACATGACAGATCATTTCCACCAATCTGACATAAATCTGCCTTCATGTGTGAATGATGGTACGTTCATATCTGAATGCAGCAAAATGCATAAACGAGAGCAACGTTTCAAAGAAAATATATTTTGACAACAAACAAACAATTCTCTGAATGTAAACAGATACAAGAACTGGACTCAAAAAAAAATCTTTCAAGACTTAAAAAATACAAAAAACTATTCCTCATGACTACGCAAGAACATTACAAGAAAGTCTGTTTTTTTCTGATTCTGTTCTCTTTTTTATTTTTAACAAAATGTAACAAAAATGATTTGTTTCAGATTTATACACTGGCAGAACAATGACAAAAGAATGCTGTTTGATATTTTAATCTGACTTTATGTTTTGTAGATGTTGAACCGTTTCTTTGTCCCGTCTCTATTTCATCATCATCAAGACTAGTAAAGTGGTACAATACATGTCTTAACATAACATGTACCGTATTTTCCAGTGTATAAGTCACATCAGTCCAAAAAAAGCATCATGAAGAGGAAAAAAAAACATATAAGTCACATTTATTATGCATCATCTTTGACCCCCGGGAAACGTGGGCCAATTTTTGGCACGACACCGGCGCGGGCGACGGCGGAGCAACGCTGGAGCCGCTAGCTCTCTAGCGTTCCTGCACCAGCTGAGTGAAGTGAGCGCACACGGGAGGACTCGCTGTTGCAGTTCTTTGAAATTTAACAAGATTAGCACTTAAAAACAATTATTTGTTTGCTCGACATTATAGCAGAGGTGTGTCTCAGTTGAACTTTTTCCTTAATAAATGCAATTTAATGGTCAATGTTTGGCTGGGGGCGGTGATGGTAGTGGTACAGGAACAACATATACACTTACTGGTAGATGTCAAAAGCCTAGAGCGCCCTCTCGCGCCTCGAGCGGCTGCAAATGGTAATGTTACTCAGGCTCATGTCAGTATGAATGAACATCGAAAGCGAAATTGCGTTATGAATATGGAAAAGAAAACTATGTAAGTCACTTCAGTGTATAAGTCTCAGGACTGGCAAATCTATGAAAAAACTGTGGCTGATACGCCGGAAAATACGATAATATTAACCTAACTAGACTCGTCTGACGTGTTCTTGCACTTCTGCTGTGCAGTTATTTTCAGAATGATAAAAACTGACAACCTTTTTCGTGTGTTTGGTTTCGCAGGCATTTTTGACTCTGGCCAGAGACATCAAGACGAAAATGGACTCAAAAATGGTGAGAAGACATTTTTGTGCTACAATTTTTTTGGCTTTCATTTTTTTTAAACATTGTTCTGTATTTGATTATGAACAAATAGCAGCTTTTTAATTAATTCGGTGACAGTTGTTTCCACTTTTGGACATGCATACCATAATCTGTCTTTTTTGATTTGCTGCAGGAAGCCAACCCGTCTCAGAGCAGCAGTCAAGGAGAGCCTCAGGGTAACAGCAGCTGCAGCTTGCTCTGACGATCCCAGCTTTTGTGGCCTGACAGAAACTGAGCTTTCACTTCCTCGTCCTTTCCTTTTGCTTCCCCTTCTGCGTAACACTATTACTGTCTGTAAGCAGAGGACTTCTGTGGATGACAAATGATGTTGCTGATGTGATCATTATATCATCTCTATCAGGTTCCCAGCTACTCTAGAAATCAGGGAAGACTCAGGGAGTTGGACCACTGATCTGCTTATTAAAAGATGATCTTTCTGAAATTTAGATAATTATTAATGCCAGTATATTCCAGTATCGTTGAGTCCATGTTCTGCTTCTACAATGTGCCAATTTGTAACCCCGTTCACAACTCTTAACGTTCTTCAGAGTTATGTGACTGGTTCTGAGCATTTTGTGTGACTTGTATAACTCCTGGACTTTCAGGATTTACTCAGGGAAATATCAGGGAATTTTTTTTTTCACGAAATGCTGGAAACTTTGACAACATGTTACACTTGTGGGTTTAAATGTGCCATGGCTACTGTCAGATAAGAATATTTTATTTTGATTACTGAATTGTAAGTGCACTTTATTTGTCTAATCGAACAAACTCGGGTGTTTTTGTACAAGCCTTAAAGCGTTAAAAATCAGTTTTGCAGTGCATTATGGGCTTTTTTTTAAAGTCTGTTCTGCTGTCTCAAAGTCAGCTGAACATTTTATGTTTTGATGGTCTCTGTCAGCTAAAGTAGAGCTTCAGTATTTGGGACAAAATTTAATAATGAAATAACATAAAAGTAAGGATGTAGCACCTTTTCTGTGAAACGTTTTATGTTTGCACTCGGCTGACAAACAGGACCTGAAAATCTGGAAGCAGAAGTTTTAAATTCACAAAATAAGAACATATGAACCCTGTTTTATGCTTTTCATCAACTTTGTTTCAAGCTAAAGGAAGTCTCTGGTTGGTAAATTAATTGCATCTTGAAGCGTCACACTCAGCTCTCCAAACACTTTATCCAAAAAACATGAAGGCTTTAGTTATTTTTTTTATTTATTTAGCAGAAATGGACCAAACCATTGCTGTTCTCTTGTTTGATTGACAGCAGGTTTAAGTCTTAATATATGAACCAGATGTGCAGAACTGAATCCATCAATAACTCCTGGAAAAATGCATTTTTTTGCTTTTTACATACAGTATCTTTAAATTCCTGTCACATTTTAATAAACAAACCTTTTATAATTCATATTTGCATTCTATCCGTTACGAAGTTTAAGCAGAGATTTATAAACGTAACGTGGGAAAAAATGAGCAAACTGTACTGCACTTTCTAAACCAATATAAAATGTATCTACAATTTGTAAACATACTTTTGGTTTAATAATAATAATTTAAAAAAATTAAACTTGTTTCAGTGTTTTTATTGACAAACAACTTTCATTTATCTACTTCATTTCTGTAGATTAAAAAAACTGAATGTAGCTCCAGGTTGAGTTTAAGTCCAAACTATTTATAGTAAAGATTAAGCTGTTTTTACTTAAAGACGTGAATAAGACATCAGGATTTTCAGTCCATCCATTTGGTCTTTTGGTGTAATTACATGAATTCCTTAAATCCTTATGTGGAAGGTGCTGTGAACCAAAACAAATATCATTAGATCTAATCACTGATAACATATTCTGCCTCCGCTGGTTTACCTGAGGAAGTCTGGGGCTCTGACAATCATGTGCTGGAAGTCTTCGAGTGAAAGACGTCCGTCGTTGTCCAGGTCGGCCTCATCCATCACCTTCTCGCACACCATCCTCACCTCCTCCTCTGTCAGCTCGTTACGAGTCAGCTTGTTCAGGGTTTTCTCCAGGTCCGACTTGCAGATGAAGTCATCGTTGTTGAAATCTTCAAATAAGTAAAGATGATGCTAAATTACAGAGAAAGGCTGGGTTTTTTTTTTCCAGGCACCTGCAGATCAAATTTACTGCTGGTTTTCAGTTCTCTTCTAACAAAGATGTTCAGTTTGTGACTTTTAAATGGACAAAACAAGCAGCTTGTCTTTCTTTTTCAGGGCAAAGAAATAAATCGGAGAGCTCGTGATCCTGTTCAGAGCCACTGACCCTAGATGTCGCTCTGCAGCTCAGATTTAGCAGTTTTTACTAATTACTTGACCTTTGACCCCATGTGCAGCTTCTCCGTCTTTTAGCTGCTGCAGCACAAATTGAAGTGAAACAACTTTGTTGCCAATAATGAGTTAGTTAAACTATGATGTTTGCCACGTTTCAGTATTCATCTTTTTGTTTTTTTGTTTTTTGATCACCCAGTTTCGAAATGTTTTATTCCAGTGGTTCTTGAAATCAATAAACTACATTTTGTACAAAGTCTGGATCAATGAGTTGCTTCTTTAAAGGGTGGAATTTTAGTGCATGTGCAAATCTCAGTCAAAATAGTTTTTTATGACTTATTCCTCATTTACTTCAAAATTCAAATGAATTACAAGTTCTAAGTCAGTTTAATAAAAGTAGTATCCTTGTAATAAAATATTTTAAAGTGAAAAGTACTAAAAAAAGTTGCATTTGTATCATATCTGCCAACTTTGAAAGCTTGATTTTATAGCTTAGATGTTATTTTTAAAATTTCCCATCTCAAAATAAAAAAAGAATCATCTTTCTCTTTAATATTTATACCAAATTCAGATGTAACTGAATGTTGTCTCATTTTAAAAATCTTGTAAATAAGCAAGATATAACACAATAGTTATTTTTAATATTCTTAACACCAGATGAATGGAAAGAATATATCTGAAGTACACATTTTGGTGTTTTACTTCAATATGTAGCGAGTAAATATTGTGAAAATCAGTGCAAATTTGACCAGTAGTATTTTCATTAAAAAAAAACAATTGTTTTATTTTAATTAGCAAACTGGTGGCCATTTACAACATTTCATTCCTTTACCTTCAATATACGCATTTTTAAAAACAGTTGTCCTTAGTTTAATCTGTTTTCTAACCATAGACAGTGGATTTCAAAAATACAGTTAGTAATTTTTAATAAAAACATAAACATATTTACCATAAATTTTGAATGCATAGTAGGCCTTTAGGTCCCGAGGAGCCATCTCACTAAGAACTGAAAACATGTCTAAGAAGTCGTCCAGTGTCATGTTCCCCTGTCCGTCCTCAGAGAAAACCTCAGCGATCCTCTGTCGAAATGGGTTGTCCTGATCAGAACACACCAGAACTTTTAGGATGATCTGATCAAATGTAAAAAATGAACCTCAGAAACTCATAAACTTTCTGGAGCACTTAAAAATGTTTGACATAGATCCATATTCTAAAATAGCTCAAGTGACCCGGTTTGCGTTGTTAGTTTTGAGCAGCTCCTCTCCCACTCCCATCTTCTGTCAGTAAACTTTAAAGATGTTTAAGATAAGATAAGATAAGATAAGATAAGATAAGATAAGTTACCTTGCTGTCTTTGCCTAAAGAAGCATATAATTGTTCTGTTTCAAACAAGTGTGCCCTTAGGGACCCAGCAGCATTCTTCAAGTTTAAAAGAGTCGGGTAACGTATAACCTTTCAAAGAATTCTGTCGATTAGTTGGTCATTAATTATGGATCAGGAACAGAAGCATGGGGGTGGGTGGGGGGGATCTGAAGGGGTTTGTGTTGGTCCGCTGGGTCTACCTTCAGCTCTGGCATGCTGCCGATCAGCTCGTATGGTAACTTCACATCTGGCTGGTTGGTGTAGTCAAGGGGAACGAGTTGCGGGGCCAAATCCCGATAGCGGTAGAAGAGTCTGGACAGGTTTCAGAAATTCACTTTCAGTGTCGAATTACAAAATATATTTGCTGAGGTAGATGTGTAGGAGTAGGTGTTGAAAGAAGATGTCCTGAAAAATGCAGCTTTCAACACTGGTTACTGATGGATCAATGAGACATGGAAAACTGTAGGCTCACCTGAGAATTTCTTTTCGTGTAAAATATGTGCAGTCCTGTAAAAACAAACAGATCATGGCAGGTAATTTACTAGTTATTTAGTGAATTCCATATAGGGAGTTTGTTTATGTAGTGCTGAAGTACTAGTCAAATATTTGTCTTAGGTAGAAATAAAAATATTATAAAGGTAAAATACTCATTTTAACAGTGTAAAGGCATAGAGTATCACTTTACTTTTAGCTTCCTTGATCTAACCAAAGGTGTTCCTCAGGGATCAATTCTGGGGTCACCTTTGTTTATTTTATATATCAGCAATCTTAATTTAGATGTATCGAACTCTAGTTTGTATTTCACGCTGACGATACTGTGATGTACTTTGCTGTACCCGTAGGTTATCATGTGCTTTATCAGTTCCAAAAATCTTTTAATCCTTTTCAGCCAACTTTGTGCATTTCTAGATTAGTTTTTAATGCTAAAACAATTGAATTTGTCTTGTTCTTCAGCTGTAAAATCAAGGCCTTTATTATTATTTTTTTGTTGTTATTCTTCTTCATGGCTCAGTGGCTGAATACAAATACTGAAGAATTCTGTAAATAAAATATTTCTGTTTACAATTTTTTTTTCTTGGCTTTTCTTTCTTCATGTCTTCATGTTTCGAAAAAGCACAATTTTTTTTACCATCTTGGTTTAAATATATTTTCCTTTTTACTGTACCAAGGACTTGTACTGAGTTAGGTAAAATAAATAAATAATAAAATATGGTGCCCTCCGTTCTTAGAATGAGCTCAAAAACCACGTGAATGTTAAAATAAAATTTCACATTAAATGAATTGGAAATTTTTAACAAATCTTAATGCACAAACATCTGGATGAGGAATTTTGTTGATGATTATGAGGACTACCGTCCACACGTCTTTTAGTTTTTACTGTTTATAGTTTTGATTACCTTTCTGTAGTTAGTCTAAAGTTAACCTTTGTCTAGGTGTGTGTTGAGCTGTTACTTTTCTTGGCCAGGACACGCCTGTATAAGATTTTAAATCTCAAGGCTTTCTCTTGGCTAAATGAAAAATAACTAATTACAAAATTCACTTTTGCAAGGTAAAATCAAATCAACAGACCTCCAGGTTCACACTGAGCTCCACACATAAAGTGATCTGTTTCAGACAGAAACAGTCCTGACACCAACCTGATAGGCATCCAGTTGCTGTGCTGTGAAGATGGTTTGTTTATTCCCCATGTCTGAGCAGACAGAGCCTCAGACCCATCGCTGCTCCAGCACTGAGTGAACTTTCGTCTTTTATGGTGAGTCAGATATGAAATACTGGGACAAAAGGAGGCCAGAGCCAAAGCGGAGATCGGGTTTCGAGCCGCAGCCGGGCCCTTTGGTTGTCACTATATAATGGCAGCATTTCATCGTTTTCTTCGTTGTGAATAGCAGCCCCTCTGACGATGAATACGGGCTGTCGTCCAGCATCATGCCAGGTGGTTTCAACCCCCTTTAGTGCCACTCTATGGCCAACGCCTCGCTCTCTGCTCAGGTTACAGTCTTTAGAGACAGGGTTTTGTTATGTGCAAAAAAGAAGTTTTAACAGGAGGCAAGTTTTGTTTTGTTTGCTTATGCAGAAGTTAAGTGTTTTATCATGCTCACTTAAGAGCCAGGTATCACATTATGGACGGAGAACTTTGCAGATCATTCTTTAGCAAAAAATTTCTCTTTGTTGATGTAAAATAGCAACAAGCTTATTTATTGTGTGTTTTTATTTCATTGCATCCAAAGCAACTAGCTGCAAAGTATGAAATGAGACAAATAAAAGGTTATCCAGAACTACATCAAGTGGTGCAGTTTACTCCAGTATTTTTCTAAATGTATCAAGTGCAGCTCTGAAGTGAGGGTCCACACTCAATGTAAACAAAGCACTCGGCTGAATCTAACTAATTGGAAGTTTGAGTCACATGACTGATCTATTGTGATCAGTCATGTGAAATACTGTCATACTTCAGCATCAGTCATATTGTGAAATACTTATATTTTTTACTTTCATGTGTTTTTCTTAAGCACTAAAAAAAGGGGTGGCTCTTAATTTCATTGTACTTGCATATAATGACAATAAAGGCATTCTGATTCTGATTCTAATCTACATTAGGCTGGCCATAGTTTGCGTAGGCAAACAAACACAGATGATAAGTTTAATGTTGGACGCGTTTTCAGCCACGTCATCTCTTCTTGTAGGTAAAAAAAACAACAAATGTGGTAGCATTTGAAGGACACATCAACCATTAACATGAGAAATATCTTGTGCAGATTTTGTCTTTTACTTTATTTATTTTTTTGTCTGGTCTTTTTGACTTTGCAATGGGTATCTTTGAAATGCACACAACTAATAGTTCATGTCACAAAAAGTGTGTGATATGAAATGCTGAATGAGCGTATTCATTTAAAAAAATGTGAATTTATAATCTGATCATCTATTTTTGTTGAAAGTTTAAGCTACAGACAGTATCACAGAGTTCCCTGCATGCTCAAGATTAAATCCATCACAGTTTTTTCTCAAATGCTGCATACATTCATTTAACCAGCTTTTCCTTTCCAGGTTTGTGGGTGCTAGTGTGGTGAATATGTGGGAGGTGCATTCTGGCTGTAATACTCAAATGTAAAATATTATAGAAGATAATGAGGTGCAAAACACAACTCATTTCACAAAAAAAAGTCTAATTTTCCTTTGACTTTTTAAACTTTTAAATGTACAAAAATTAACTCCCCAAAATTATATTTTTGAATAAAGACAACTCTTCTGATTCAGTTAACTTTTCCAATAATAGAAACCATGCAGGAGCACAACAGCACGAGCTGGTGGTGAGGTGGAAGTTGTGCAGAGTGCACTTCTCTCTGCTCAGAACATCCATCCATCCATCATCTCATACTTTCTGGGTGGAGTGGAGGGGGGGGGCGGGGGGTTGTCACTGGTGCCCATATCGAACAGTAATTGTCTAAGAGGCGGGGGACACCCTGGATAGGTCGTAAGTCCATGATAGGGACACAAAGAGACAAACGAGACAAACAACCTGAAGCATGCTCAATAATCCAGATAGATAAATCTGCGAAGGTTGAGTCAGGTCCTCTGGATGGATTCTTCTTGTTGAAATGTTTCATCTTAGACTTCTTCAGTCTAAGGAGCTGCAACAAGCTCAGTCTTATAAATAGTGCCACCAGTTTTTTGGTGACAAAAAAAAAAAAAACTAGTTATCTAGCCAAACTAGTTTGGCTCATTCGCTTAAAAAATTTGTGGCGGAGCTAAAAATCGGCCAAACCTGACACAGTTGCACCAGCTGTGTCAGGAGAGCGGGACAACGAGATGCAAACTTTTTGTAAAGCTTGTGGAAGGTAACCAAATGTCTGACTCAGGTCATACAGTTTAAAGGCAACACTACCAAATACTAAGAAAATATGTAAACATATGAAGAAAGTAAAGTATTGTTTTTCTCTCATTATTTGGGACGATGAAATTTTAAAACATTTTTGCGAATCCTAAATGACCTGAAACAGGAAAGGTTTGTTCTGACTTTAAAGTCTTCTCGTGTTGTGTAAGTAAAAATCTGGTGTCACCTGTAGGTTTTACTGAATTATCCGATTTTACTGATGTTAGCTGTAATTTGTGACACAAACCCCAACAACAAAAAACAAATAAAAGCTGCTGCAGGAGCGTCACCTCGATCAATCAGTGTGTCTGACAGATGTGTGGACGATGATCTGTTAAGACCAGCTGAAACTGAGGGGATCACATCAACACGTGGAAGTAGGTCACCTTGTTAATGATAAATCTGGAGTTACAATCCTTCTACAAGTCCTTTCTTGTTACAGATTGAATGATTCATCTGGAAGACAGTGCTGCGACAAGTCGTTCTGCTAAAACAC